TAATGCTCACCAAGCGCAGCGAGGACGCACTAGTCAAGGTTTGATCTACGCTGTTTTTGGCGGTCGAGGATGGAGGAGCAAAAGCGAACCTGCCAGCTCATGACGACATTGCAGACAAACGGGAGACCACGACGATGTTAGGCGGTGCCGCAGACGTGGATCATAGGCATTTGCTGGCGAGCCGCATCGCACTTTCCGTTTCGCCCTACGGAGTATCCGGCACTGGCGCGGACGCCGCAGCTCCGCCGGTGTTGGATATCGACTCTGCTAATCGCCAGCGACAGTCTGATATCCAAGACGCTTCGGTCGCGTGCCCAACTATGTATGTCCATGTGCTCGTGGTTCCTCGGTGCCGACATCTCGACACGGACAGCCGCACATTGCGAGAACTCCGAGCCGCCCCACTCGATCAAGTGGCTTTGGGTGTCTGCACGTGTCGGCCTCGCTTCCGTTGGCTCTCGTCTTCCAGCCAACCACACAAGGGACGGCAGGGGCATCTGGACCTTGAGCTGCAGCTCCAAATATCGATTCACTCAGCATTTGGGGACTTGGGCTACGAGTGTCCAGTCTGGTGTGTTTGATCTGAACCACCTGCAGCCAATCCAAACCCCTGTCGGGGGGCCTAGGGCTTGTGGCACCCGGCTCAGCCCACTGCAATTTCCAGCCACAACATTGAAGCCTGTCTGGACAGTTGCTGGCGACTGGTACGTACTGCAAATGGGCTGTTCCACACTTTGGCCACCTAATGAGGCCTAGCGCATAGATTCTTTTTTCATTTTTCATTTTTTCCCCATTGGCTATCTTTTTTTTTTTTTCCTCAGTCCCCTCCCCCCCTGGCCCCCCCGGCCTGGAGCGCTCCCGCCAATTTCCCAGCGCCCCCAAGATGGAAAGTGTACTTGTGTCCAATGTAACAAGTACTAATGCCGCAGCTTCCGGCGGGCATGGATGGTGGTTCATCCCTCGCTGGAGCACACGACACATGTCGAGTTGCGGTTTGGCAGGAGCTCACCGACACCGCAGTGCATTTGGATCTCTAACACACAATCTTCACAGCCGCCTGTAGTCTGCCAAAGCACCCAAACGCCCACTGAATCATGCTGCACCTCTGGGTGACATCCACAACCAGGCTCACCGCTGACCAACATTCGAAGACTGAACTCTACAAGTCATCACTCGACGTGTTCGTGATAGCGCTTCGCCGGCCTCACGCCAAGGTGCAGCTAAAACTAAATGTTAATTGACAGCACAGCGCCTGGTGCCTGCGTACCGTAGCGTAGCGGCAAAGCACAATGCGCCGGTGTGAACTCTGGTCCATCTCAGACAGGGCGTGATGCCCTTTGGCAGGCTTTGTGCTCTCGTCTTCCTTGGAAGCCCGCCCCGGCGCCAAGAAGGTTCGTCCTCGGCCGCACGGAGAGGCCCCAAACCCCCGTTCGGCCACGGTTTGCCATTTGATTCAATTAATGTGCCCATCTCCATGACCCTTTGCCCATCCTGTTAGCCTGTCGCCCTGTCGCCCTGCCGGCCAAGCCCAAGCCTCCATGTCCCACGCCCCCAGGCCGCCTCGCCCGTCCTGATCTTGACCTGGCCCGCCTGCTCCGTAGCGCAACACTGACTGCGTGAAGCCGTGCTTGCTTGTCTCCCATTCCTCTTTCCCGTGGCCTGGCCCTCTTTAGTACCTCGTCCGCCTCTTTTGCTTCCTCTCGCACCTACGTTGCTCCTCTCCTACTCCTACTCCATGCTCTTCTTCCTCTGACTTTCTTTCCACCCGCCCACGACTCTCCTTCTTCCTTTTTCCTTTCCCCTTCTTCGCCCACACGTGCCTCGAGTCGCCAACCGTCCCGCACTCCTCCCCGACGCCGATCGACCTCATCATCGTGGCACGTGCCGAGAAACCGCATCGTCTCTGACGCCTGACGTCTACTGGCTATTCGAGACCCTTCGGAAGACCCGGTTCCCGCTCAGCTTTGGATTATGAGATAGAATTTGGGTATCTTTTTTACTTCAGATATTTGGATCCGCCCTCGACGGGACCTTGTCGCCCTCGAAACGCGCTCTCCGTCTTGCGGTGCGCCGGATCTCAGTCGCCTCTCGCGTTGAGAACGTCTCGTCGAACCCCGACCGACCTTTTCCCTGCCCCCCTTAACCCCCCGGCGAACCGCAATCGTGGCTTCAGCTCCGTCGATATACCTATCATGAAGGATCTTCCCGGCTCCGTTCCGGGAAAGCCGGTTCTGCCGTCGCTCTGGACTGAGAACCTGACCATCGCATTTTTAAACCGCCTCCCCAACCGCTACCATGTTGGCCGACGACGAGCCCGATCCAAATCCAAGACAATGCACCCTGGCGCAGAAGACATCACTGTCCTACGAACATCTTTCAACTTCTGGGATGGTTTGCGTGATCTTCAAAGGCACAGATGGAGAGCTTCAGACCTGCAATACATCTTCCTCATCGGATTGACCCTCTTCTCCCTTTGGATTGCTCCTCCGGCTCCTGCCCTAAAGTTTTTCGCCTTGGTAGCTGTATCATGGATTTTTCTCATGCCTGCCACGCGACAGTTCTTTCTGCCAGCTGTGACGATATGGGTTTGGCTCGTCTATTTTTTCTGCAGTCGGTATGTAGTTTCCCGCATCGTTCCACGTCCCCTCTCCCTCCGCCTTGTTTGAGAGGTGTCTAGTGTTCGTCTGCGGGCTCTGTCATCAAACCCGGCAATGCTAACCAGAACTTCTCGCAGCTTTATCCCTTACGATTACAGGCCCCATATTTGGGTTCGAGTGCTGCCGGCCCTCGAAAATGTCTTGTACGGCGCTAATTTGTCGAATATCCTCTCCGCTCACAAGCACGCCATCCTTGACATTCTAGCCTGGCTCCCCTATGGTATTATTCACTTTGGGGCTCCTGCGGTGTGCTCCCTCCTTATGTTCATCTTTGCCGCTCCTGGAACAACTCCCGTGTTTGCGCGAACCTTTGGCTGGATGAGCATACTTGGCGTCACTATCCAACTCATGTTCCCGTGCACCCCTCCTTGGTACGAGAATGAACATGGCCTAGTCCCAGCCATGTATGGTATGGAGGGTTCCCCCGCTGGTCTTGCTCGCGTCGACAAAATATTCAATATCGACCTCTATACGACCAACTTCACCAACGCCCCTCTGCCGTTTGGTGCGTTTCCGTCATTGCATGGAGGATACGCTGTGTTGGAGGCTCTTTTCATGAGCCATTGCTTTCCTCAGTTCCGAATGTTCTTCATTGGCTATGTCGGGTGGATCTGGTGGTCGACCATGTACCTCAGCCACCATTATGCCATCGATCTTGTTGGCGGCGGCCTTATCGCTGTAGGATTCTTCTACTCTGTTCGAGCGCGATACCTCCCTCAGCGCCAGGCCGACAAGATCACACGATGGGAGTACGAGTTTGTCGAAATTGGAGACCGCCACCGGCTCGCGGATGAAGAGTACGGACACGAATATTTCGGTCTCGGATTGCTAGAACAACGTCGAGAAAACTCAAGCGATGGCTGGACACTGGGAGGCAGCTCCAGCTGCAGCTCTAGCAGCGGCACACTGAGTCCAACTATCTCCGAGGACACAGTCCCAGGGATGATGGTGATGGATATATCGAGCAACGGCCAAATATGGGACGGTAATGCGCCGCCTCGAGATGTCGAATTAAGCGAAGTTGTTGTTGTTCGACAGAATTAGGAATGAAACAAGACGAAAACCGGTACGCAACTTTCACCCGCGTATAATAACACGCTCCGACGACTCGACACTATTAGCTCATCATCTTACTCGCCTCCTTTCGTCGCGGGACTACTTTTTAACGACAATTGCTTATGATTCTCGGCATATTGCCAAATCAACTTCCACATAATTAATCTTCGAACCCACCCCTTTTTTTTTTTCAAACATCTTTGGCATTCATCGGCACAGCGAATTGGCGCAACGTGGTGTTTTATCTTTTTTAATTTGGACTCATGACACTCTCTCACAAATGTGGCGGCCCTCGGACTAATTTCGTCAGTTGGCTCATAATGATGCGGAAAGGGGACGAAAAGCCACAGGGAGTGAATTCGATCCAACGTACTGCATATAATAGCCATGGAAACGGCTTGCAATGATAGAGTACGTAATGTATACATACCAAGTAATTCGTGCATATATGGGTCAATAGGGAAGGGTTAACATGCACCGATACGCTCGCTAGAGAGCCTGGCAGTGGACGGGAAAGGCGCTCATGATTTGGACATATTGGACAGGCGGTTACCTGTGATTGCCCGCAAGGGCAGGCAGAAGTTTTAGGACTTGTGGCTTGTGGTGATGAACCCAACGGGGGGCGGGGTGACTCGGTCGTCTGAAAGGGATGATCAGAGGGGAATGGAGAAAATACCAAAGATGCCACTCGCTAGAAACTAGAATTAGAAAGGAATGAATCCTTGAACAAAATGTAAAAATATCACCATATCTGAGTATTCAACAGTGACCAAAACTGGAGGGTATAGAAGAGTTGTAAACGGCCACCGACAGGTCCAGCGGACGGGATGGCTGGCCGAGTCTGTATTCACTCATGGAAAATGGTGCGACTTGATCGACTATTTGCAAAAATGCAAAGGTCACGGTCTAATGCCCAATCTACCTGGCCTGTCTAAAGCGTTTCATGGCGTTCCAAATCACGGGTTACGTCCAGTGGGGGTTGTTCCTGGTTCTATATTCAAACTCGGATATAATTGCCCTTCATAGGTCATTACTCAATTCGTAAAGCATCCTGTGGTTCATCCCAACCGCCCGTCATCTAAACAAGACTCTAGCAAGAAAAATGATGTCGACAAAAGAAAAAAAAACGTCATGAGCCTACAAGACAAATCGGGCTTCCAGAGCGCTTGATGTCCAACTCATATCTCCTTCGCTTATGCATGTCGGCTTTGCAAGATGAAAAAAGAAGAGGGGGGGAATGTGGTTCAAGAGAAGAAAAGTCAAGTGGATGTTGTCGTGACGTCAAATTTACCTGTTTGACGTAGGGGCGCTCCAGAGACCTTTACTTGTTTGTATGACCTTGTTCGCTTGGTTACCCGGTTGTAGGGAGGCGGGGACACTGCTGAGGGCTGGTGCGGCAGTGGTATTGCCCATAACGACGTCTGCGTCGTGCTGTGTGCCGTAGCCCGAGTCCTCTTTGCCGAGCGAGATGCCGCTGTCGTCCTTGCGGGTTCCGTTGCCGTCGCTGCGCGGGGCTGCGCCGCGGCCGGGTTCTTTTGAGCGAGCGCCGTCCATGAGGTGTGAGGCCTCGCGGAGCTTGTTAATGGCGCGGACAGTGTCGATGGCTGCGTGGAGGGTGCGGCGGGCGTTGAAGTTCTTCTTGATGGTGGGGAGGAGGTTCTCGCCTGCTCCGTCGGTGGGCTCTTCGGCGGCAACGAAGGCATGCTGAAGGGCCTCGTGCGCGGTGATGCGTTTGGTGTGATCGATGGTCAGGCATCGACGGATAAAGTCCTTGGCATTGCTGGAGACGCCGCGCCAGTATTCTACAGGCGTGAAGCTGTAGTCTGCGTTTAGAATGGCCTGCATTTCTTCAAAGTCGGAGTCCCGGTCGAATGGGGTGTAGCCACAGAGGAGGAAGTAGGTGATGACTCCCAAGGCCCAAAGGTCAACAGGCTTGCCATGGCCCGTTTTTTTGAAGATTTCCGGAGCCATGTACCCTGGCGTGCCGCAGGTGGTTGTGAGAACGTGAAACTGTTCTTCGTCCATGATACGTGAGAGGCCAAAATCCGCAATAAGCAGGTCCGCGTTGTCCTCTGGCGTTCGGAACAGAAGATTCTCGGGCTTGAGGTCGCGGTGTACTATACCGTGGTCGTGCAAGTAAGCTACAGCAGATAGCGTTGCGCGGATAAGGTCGGCGGCGTCGGATTCGTAGTATGATCCCTTGCGACAGATTCGGTCAAAGAGTTCACCGCCGAGAGCCAGGTCGGTGACAAGGTAGAGGTTATTCATCGTCTCAAAGTAGTCGACAAGCGTCAGTATGTTTTGGTGGCCCATGGACACCTTCTTGAGGACGGCAATTTCATTGCGGACCTAGACAACATGGCCAAGATGGTATCAGCAAGCAATCTACAGATTCTATTGCTCGAAACGGTGACGATGCGACATGTCAAATCAGGAGTCGAAAGGTTTTACGAACCATGTGCTCACGGCCTGCCATAAGCCGCTTGTTGATAACTTTGGCGGCATAGTATCGACCGGTATCAATATGAACACATTCCTTCACCACAGAGTAGGAGCCAGCTCCCAGCGTCTTTCCGACCTTGTATCTACAAGGCTGGATCTGAGGCTGCGGTGTCTGCTGTTTGCCGTCCATCTTTCTTCAACCGGCGTGTTCGCAGAGATGGAAAAAGGCGGCAGGGCGTCGCTGCGAAAGGTTTGCCTCGCGAGGCGTGGGCAGGGCCGTTGCAATCGAGGTACTATATAATGGTTTGCGGATGTGGCCTTGGGAGTGGCAGCACCGAACAAGAAGGCAATATAACTCTTCGTCCTCGGATCACGGGCGACGTGTCGAGGTATTCGTATTTTCGTCCGTATGGAGGCTGCAAAGCTCCCTGTCGATTTCGTGTTCGGCCTACGGGTGTATCTCTGCGAATTTGAGCGAGGCTCAGCTCGTACAATTTATCTGGCGGCGAGATTGTGTGGAGGAGAGACTCTCCTTGGTCAACTGGATGAGGTGGGGTCTCAGTCTCACGCAGAGGTATAGATGGGGACTGGAACCTGGAGCTTGGGTCATTGTTTCACCACAGCAGGCGGCGGGTTCTTACGAGATTGAGCCACCTTGCAGCTACATGTAGATGTCGAATGTGGTGGACCGACTGACTGCCTATTGCGCACCACCCCCGTTGACCAGCTCAACAGACACTAATTGGAACTCGGAATGTAATATCATGGACTGTGCGCCTAATCATGTTTGGCGTCATTGCACTTCATGTGGCCTTGCGCTGAACGTTCATCCTTCCGAACCAGCAGAGACTCGCTTTTGCAAGGCGGTCTTGGCCGTCGGCATCTAGAAGTCGATGTAGATCTACCTAGGGAGGTACTGGACAGTTCTTCTTGATATCGAAATCAACTGCAGCTGTCACGGAAAGCTATCACGGGCCGTTTCCAACGACAGGCTGGGTTTTTCACTCGTAGACTGGCCTAACTCTTGATTCTACCTGGCGAGATTGCTTTATTTCATCTTCCAACCGGCTCATTTGTCCTGAACATATCTCGCGGGACAGTGGTGGCATTTGCGCCACGAACTCCTCATAAGCCTGCACCGCCATATATGTTAATCTTGCGAGGTTGATTTATCATAGCAATTTTTCCGCACAACGCGGGCCTAAATCAACCATGAGTTGGAGCGTGTCAGGGGGGCTTGGTCAATGTAGATATCTATGCCCGCTCCATCAAGGAGACCTCAGCCTTGTGGCCCCTTTCGTGACTGTTTCTTTGCACTAGCAAACTTTTTCTGTTTTATGCGAGCTTCATGGAATCGTTTTTCTCTACGTCCAGGTTAGCCAGAGCCAAATGACATGCACTGCGTCTGAAAGACCCTCACATGGCTTCATATTTCTTCTTCTTCTCGCCACTTGTCTCAGTTGGTGTTGTCTCTTTGTAGATACGTATTACTTCTTCAAGGAGTTTATTTCGATTCTCGTCTGCATTCGCAGTTCTTGATCGATGAGTTTGGTCTTGGAATGTGAGGCTGTCGTTACTCGCCACATAGTACTTGGAGGATCGTACAGCAGCGTGCAGATTCCTCGGCAGGGTGGACAAAAGATCCCGCACGGAATACACAGTGGTGGCCTTGGTTTCTGTTCTATACACAATCAGTGCATCACTCCACGGTGTACGCTATCAGAAAAGGAGCCGCCTCACTTGTTCACATGCTGGCCGCCTGGGCCGCTGGATCGCGCGTACGTGGTGCTGCCTTTGGGTAACTGCGATGCATCAAAAGATTGGTACCAAGTCCTTGCTTCTGCCAGGGCCTCTTGATCGAGATTTGCATCAAAGGCGCCATATCTTTTGGCTCTCTGTAACAGCAAAGGCTGCAGTGTCCTCTGCAAAGGCCTTGTGATAAAGACAGCGCGTCGCGACAGCTGGTGGCAGATCATGATAATAAGCAAGGCCGCCCTAAGGATTGCCACCAAAGGTTGTGCGACATCAAAATGCACAATTAGTTCAGTCTCTCCGGTATATGTCAGTTTTGAGACGGATCGCCAAGTCTCTCTGCTTTTGGTACTGGCTGAGCTTAGGCAATTGTCTAAAAGAGTTACCGGAAACCTTATGATAATGAATCGGGAGCGGTGAAGTCCATGTCCTAAACTTGACTAGCGCGGCACCTACTCAGGTTTATCCGACACCCTGATTACGCTCACACAGAAGGCACACCTTCCAACCTGAGTCTGCTTACACCCCCCAAGGCGCCACTTTCCAACTCGAACTTCGCCCAGCCATTTTTTGCCTTCTTCACATCATCACCACGCGGGCCATTTTCAGCAGTTCGCGCCATTTATCGAGCCATTACTGAGTAAATCAGTCATTCTTCCGAGAAGGAAACACATTCTCCTTTTATCGACATCAACTTGTTCAAAGCAGGCTGCTCGTTGCTCCTCAGTTGCCCTGCAGCAGCACGCAAATCCTTGGCGCAGTGTTGTCACAGATACTTGTCAACCCCCAAGCATCGATGGATTCAATGCAAGTCTGCTGATACTTTATCAACCACACCAACCCCTTCGCCCGCATTGCAAAGCCTTATCCTCCCAGCTCAGCGATCAGCGTCGCTTAAGCCATCGTGCTCATACGGTGCAAGAGGCTCCAGCTTTGCTTTCCATTTCCCCAAGCTTAGGCCGAATACCTTCCGCTTTCATGAAAGAGCCTGAAGCCGAACTTCAGGCCAGTGCCAACTTGTCCCCCGTGTCACCATCGCCTGTCCACACCGCGGCGCCGCTTGTTGTTCCAGCACTTCAAGACACTGTCGATACCATCGACGCCATGGTTGCTGCTGCTACCGCTGGTGTCCCTGAGGCCCTCGTCGACCAGCCCGTTGTCGATCCCGCCCTCGCTGATGCCACTGACAACGACGATGTTGTAGATGACGACAGTTTTAACGACCCATATGGCGAGGATACTGAGCCTGCCCAGCCTGCGCAGGCCCATCCTCCGCCAGAGCCCTCAGAAGCCAACGACGATTACGCCAAGACATTCGACTCGCCCATCGAACCAAACGAAGGAGGTGAACAGGACATTGATCAACTAGTGTCGTCGAGTCTGCAGGAATCCAATCTAGTTCCCATTCCATCCGAGCAGTTGAACGTCAGTCGATCTTCAGAAGTTAGCCCTGCTACCGTCCATGACCCATCTGCAACGTCTACGCCTCCTGTTTCAAACAGCCATCAAAATGCCCAGCATGAACCTTCAGCCAACCCTCCCGTCCCAGCACCATCAGACCATAGAGGGGATGACCAGCAAGACCAAGACCAAGACCAAGGAGCCCAGCCTAAGCCCACAGATGGTCCAAATCCCGCTGTTACGGAGTCGCAAAGTTCACCGTCGCTTGATATCCAGAAACTTGTGGCTGACCTCACTGCCAAACCTACTGAATCCAATGCCGACTCTGATCCATCTCCTGCTTCGCCGGCACAGGCTGAACCGCCCACGGGTTCTGCATCTCTGTCGTCCTCGACTACATTGCCATCTACTTCCTCCCTTCCCCCAAGGCCTCCCCAACCGCACTCCGCTTCCCCATTGTATGCCTCACAGCATCATCCCGCTGGAGCTAACCCCAATGCAACCGCAGCTGTCGTTGCTCAGCCAAACACTGGTCAAGCGCCATCATATCATATCGGCAGTGCTCCAGGAACCTCCACAGACCCCGTGGCCAGCCTTCCCCTCCCCCCTGCCAGCGGCCTGAATGTTTCACCGTATTCAACCCAGACTGCACCTGGGTACTCCGCGGATCAGGGTCGTGATGTAGAGTACCAACGCCAATGGGACCAATTCATGGCAGACGAAAGACAATATATGTCTGAGGCTAAGTGGGATCGATTTCCTGAAGGTTCCCGCATCTTTATTGGTATGCCATCTTCATCCACCGCTTGAAATGTTTGCTAACTTCGCTTTGTTCCCCAACAGGCAACCTCTCAAGTGATAAGGTTTCCAAACGCGACGTGTTTGAATTATTCCATAGATATGGTAGACTTGCACAAATCTCTTTGAAGTCCGCATACGGATTTGTGCAGTATCACACCATCGATGAAGGCCAAAGGGCAATGGAGAACCTGCAGGGAATCGAGATCAAGGGTCGTCGCATACGCAAGTCTCAGTCCTGTTTCATCCTGGGAACACGACAATTCTAACAGGGTAGATAGATCTGGAAATATCTCGTGTACAGGATAAGTCAAAGAAAGACCGCAACCGAAGCCCAGACAGAGGCCGCGGCCGTGAGAATGGGCGGAGAGGGGATAAGCACGGCCGAGATGATTATCGTCCCGGTAGGAATCACTCACCTCGTCGTAACGATTACCACTCGAGAGACGACAGTTTTGGCGGGAGAGACCGTGGCTACAGCGACTCTAGTCGTGGCGGCCGAGGACGGTCCCGATCGCCCCCGTACGGGCGCAGTGATCGTGATCCCTATCGGAGACGAAGCCCGAGCCCACATGGTCGACCTCGTAATGAACCAGAGCTTGATATCCCACGAAGATACGGCGCCGATGTGCCAGATGTGCAAATTATCTTGCAGCCCGATGTCAATCGCGATTTCGTAAACTGGGTTGAGGGGGCCTTCAAGGTCAAGGGCCTGAAGACGCAAGTTATGTACTTGCATCCTCGCTTTCCCAAGGATCAAGTCATTCAGCGACAAGCAGCAGAAGGTGTACATGGCGTTGTGGACTTGGATATCCGTGCTCAAAATCTCGCCAGAGTCCCTGTGCAGGTGTTCGACCGCTCTGCTGGAAGCAACAATGTGCGCTTTGATCAATACGTGGACCTCGACCCTGGCACTGCAGCAGAGGTCATTCTACGCGCCAAGTCGAGTGCCGCACCTGCAAACTACAACCAAGGCTATGGCAGCAATGGAGCATATCAGAACCCCTATGGCACGCAGCATCAGCAGCCTGCTTATGGTGGAGGTCAACAGCCAACTGCGTACCCTCTACAGCCACAGCAACCACCCCCAACTTCAGCCGCTGATATTGCCAGCTTGATGGGACATGTTGATAACGCTACACTTCAGCGACTGCTATCGACGATCCAGGGCCAGTCATCAGCGCCTCCAGCAGCTGGGAGCTACCCTCACCCTGCGGTTGGTGGTGCCCACACAGCTCATAACCCTCCAGTTGACATTCAAGCTATCCTGGGGAGCTTAAGCGGTACAAACCCCCAGCAACATGCACCTTCACAAACACCATATGGGGCTCCTTATGGAGGTCAGCAGTCAAATGGAAGCAGTAATCAAGGTGCAAATGGGAACAATGGAGATGCTGCCAGCCAAGTACAAAATATCATGGCACAGCTCGCCCGCTATAGACAATGATATTGATCTCTCTTCGGTGGTTTGATAGTTTAGAATGCGTGGCGCAGGATGGAATGTTTGACTCTGTTTGGCCCTGGGAGATGAATGCTTGTAAGTAGATTATTCACAAAAATAGTGATGTGACATCAATAGTGGCAAAGACGAAACGTTGGCCGTCAGGAACTTTCGCACCAATAAGCTATAATGATTACAGATTTCGGAGCTGAAAAACGAGATGCTCAGTGACGATGATTGTGCTGCGATGACTTGGATCCGAGCGTCCCACGGCGAAAAGGTTTGTCACGGAAAAGGCCAGCAAGAGCCATTCCAAGGTTCACGACGAAAATTCGTATATAATATTTATACCAGGGGATATAGTACATTGACCATGAAGCATTACTAGTATGGACAAAAGTTGTCAAATATTTATTTGCCTCTGCTCTGTTACCAGCCGAATGTTTCGTTATGCCACCAAACTCTTCGGCCCTTCATCACCCAGGGCCTCACTCTTCGCTGTACCTCTCGATTCATTTCGATCGGCCCACAAACTAAAACTGCGACTGATTCATCCGGGCTCCCTCGGAACATGTCATCTACAATCTTTTCGATATTGGGTCTCTTTTTATTATGATTGGCCGTCAGCCGTCCATTCGTCCTACGCATGCTGGACAGCTCAACAGAGCCTCCAGCAGAGTCGCCGTTGTCTTGTTCCCTTAGGCCCAAGTCTCCCGTCAAGTAGAGCTGGATATTGGGATCTTCAAGAACAACCTGCCCTGTGGTTTTGTTTGACACGGCCCATGTGGCGTCACCAGCGCCACGGATGGCCCATATGAATTGGAGCTTGGCGGAGGACAGCTCGCTCTGGAGCGCTTGGTAGATTGGCAGGGTGAATGTTGCGCCTACTCCGCCGGACACGAGAAGAACTTTGGTGGCTCCCCACTTCAAAAGGTCGTTGTACTTTGTGGCCATGGTACCGTAAGGGCCTTCAACAGCCAACGTGATCTTGCGAGATTCCGAGGGTGGTCGGGGTGTTGCGGACGAATAGGCGGAGAGGACGTTTGTCATGGGCCCGTTTCTGACGCGAGCGATGAGGCTGATGGTGCCTTCTTCGGCGTCAACAGCAGCAACAGTGAAGGGATTGTACAGGTAATCAAAGATGGCAGACTTGGAAGATGGAACAGCTGCGGAGCGACCTTGCGGTGGGAGGCTCAGGTAGATGTGTGAGCCGGGGGTGGCGCGGAAGGGAGTCAGCTTGTGCACGGGGATGGAGGACATGACTTTGACGAGAGTTGTTCCGGGTATGTTTTCCACTGTTGATGGGGCGTTGATAGTGGTGATTCGTCGCACAGCCAGGTCGAGGATGAAGATGGCAAAGGCCTCGGCAATATAGAATCTGGCTGATGACGCGTGAAAGAAGAGCAGGACAGGTGTAAGTAATGCCACGACGAGGTGAGTGATGAAGAATAGTCTGTATGAATACTCTCTCGCTTTCCGCATGGCGGTGGTGGCAATGCCGTGATATCCAAATGAGGCAAGGACGCCGCAAAAAACGACAGAGTCAAAGATGCGCTTGAGCCAAATGGCTTGCATGATAAAGTA